GGAGAAAAACACCACGCCCACACAAGGGCAGTATCAGGAGGCCCAGCTAGGGCCGTAACAGTGGTACTGCTCTGCAGTGGCTTAGGTCTTACCTGGCTGAGAGAAGATCTCAGTCTTTTGGATTTCAGATCCTCCTCAGCTCCAGTCTCATGTGGGGTAACACAGGGATCAATACTTGGACCTCTGCTTTTCCCTCTACATCTCCTGCCCCTTGGTTCTATTCTTAGAAGGCACAAAATTGCTTTCCATTGCTATGCAGACGATACGCAGGTATCCCGAGGAAACCGGTTTCTTTAGCTTTAAAAGGACATTCTAGCTTCATGGAGGATTTCAGCTGCTTACCAGTTCACAGCCTTTTTTGTTTTATTTTTGTTTCACAACGCATTAAATATTTTGAGTGAGTAACAGGTCTGGACTTAAGGCAGGGCAGTTTAAAACCAGCATTACATGTGTGATGTATTACAGCCTCCTGTTTTTGATTCTGGTAAATAATGCTCTTAAATTAGACATTTCTACTTGAATTATCATGTTGGTTAGTATCATTTCAACTTTGTGGTTTGGTCTCTTTTAACATAGAACAAAATGAAGAAAAAATATTCTCTGCGGGAGAATGGCACTCGAAGACTCTCCTTTGTAAGTACTAAACAAACAGCAAATTTACATGTTGCTTTTACTTCCTGACATCTTTTCCATCATCCACATCCTGCTTTCCTTTTAGATGCTTAGCTAATTTCAGACATTTAGCTATTGACTAAGGCACAACCTCAGTCTTTCATCCACTCTGCCTTTTTTACTGATTGTCTTGTACTTTCTTTTTGCTTTTTTGACTGTTTAGGCAGACGATGGTGTCCGGTGGCGAACTGGATCTGAGATCATCAATCCAGATGATCCTTGTGTGCACAGCTGTGAAATGGATCACCCTTCCTCATTTAGGAAATATCAGCAGAGCTTGCAGATTCTCAAGCCCTTGCGTTTTTCCTCACCACAGTCAGTGTCAATATCAAACTTGATTGTTTAGATGAACTTAGATAATATTTGATGGCTAGTTATTTGTTTCCATATAAATACTTTATACTTGGAAATGTATTAATGCCCTCCTTTCACACAACATTTTATGTCTGCTTTATATTTAGGCCCCACCCTGTGGACAATGCAGGTTCCCTGTCCTTCATAACTTTTGCCTGGATGACCCCCATAATGTGGTCCATTTTTAGGAATAAGCTGGACATCTCCGAGCTAAAGTTGTCTCCTTTTGATATTGCTGACACCAGTGCACAAAGGTCTTTTCTCTTCATATTATATTCAGATTTAAACACAACATATCCAAAAATGAGTCAGGGGGATCACAGTCAAAATCCAAAGACATAGTGACAGTTGGAAAAGTACTTGAAATTTACTAAGTACCTATAATATTTAAAAGAAAAACAGACTGCTGGGTGAGTAGGTCCTGATTGTAAGTGTCTGGCAGGTTTCAGAGACTCTGGGATGAAGAAGTGGCCAAGAGGGGTCTGGAAAAAGCCTCACTGGTTCGTGTGGCCTTTCACTTTCAACGAACCAGGCTGATTGTCTCTGTCATTGTTGGTATTCTTGCCATGGTTTCAGCATTTTTGGGCCCGGTGAGTCATCATCTCTGTGTTTCATGTTCTTAGATATTAGAACATGAACAATCCCAGCTGTATACAGTGGAAACCAGTTTTGTCCAAAGGCATTTCTGCCATTTCTAAATGTCGCATCTGAGCAATTTAGAGAGGAACCATCTCATCAAGTCATCTGAAGGTGCACATAAGTAAAAAAAAAACAAACAAACAATGATTTTAATCTCAGATCTTGTGATGAAAGTACATTTTGTTCTGAAAAGTAGTACCTGAAAGTGTAGCAATATATAATAACTAATATGTACATCTGTGGTGAAGTTTACATACAATCATCACGGGGATGAATGTCACGGTAATTCTGTGCCTCTGTTTTTTTCTTTGAACCGTTTCATTTTTCAGGGTGGAACTATTGTACAGCCAGTGTTGGGAAGGTTACTTTTAAAATGTATTCCATTACAGATTACAGAATACATGCACCAAAA